GAAACTCGTTGAGTAATCCCTGCACTTCTTCTGGGATTTTGTCCTCCCCCCAGTGATTCACCACCAGCAAGTGGACCTCGCGGGTATCCTTACATTCTCTTACAAACTCAGAGTGGCGATGGGTTATGGTAAGAAAATTTCTTTCTTTTGCCTTTGAAGCCTTGGGTTGGTTCTTTTCTGCCATGGGTAATAGTGTATAGCGCACACCCTCTTTCTCGAGCTGGTATGTGTTCTTCCTACCCAGGTTCTTGGCATCTGCATCAAACTACCAAGGCCTACCAAGCAAAATATGGCAAGCATCCATATCCACAATATCACAATAAACCTCATTAGTGTACTTACCAATAGAGAATGGAACCTTGTAGCGTTCCTCCACACGTACGCCCCCGACTTCCTTGATCCACCCAATCGTGTAAGGGTTTGGGTGTTTCTCAGGAAGGAGTTGTAGTTTTGTACCACATCCCTGTAGATAATATTTTCCTAACTGCCGCTATCAATAATTAATTCAAATAGCTTACCCTGTATAGTACACCTAGTGCGAAACAACCAGTGTCGTTGTGTGGTATCTTTGCTTCTCTGAGATAGCATTAGCTTCCTCACTACACACGTGTATTCTTCATGCTCATAGGTACCTTCTTCATCCTCCCCATCGGGTCCACAATATACTTCATTATTACACACTTCTTCCTCATCCCTCTCCACCATGTTAATTGCCTTTCTTCTGGGACAGTCACTAGACCTATGCCCCACTTCATTGCACTTGAAGCACTTAAAAGGAGCAGGTTTTGCATAGGGATTAATGGCTTTAGGAGGGTTTGTAGTATTACCTTGAGTGTTTCCTCCCGTGGCGGCCTTACTGGTGTTGGCTAGACTCGGTGGGTGGGAGGGTTTTACTCCTTGGGTTGGCTTGCCCTTGTCGACTACTGCTGGCTTATTGTCGCTCCCACTATACTGTCGATAGTTATTGGCTCGGGTCCTTTCTTGGAACATTAACTCAACCTTCAAAGCTAAGTTCCTTGCTTCCTACACACTCAGAACCATTTGAACGCCAATCTTGTCTCGGATAGTAGGTCTCAGACCACTCAGATAACGGGCTGCCTGTTGATTGTCACTTTATGATAGCTGGTTCCATTCAGCCAACCTCAGAAATTTTGAGGTGTACTCGTTCACGCTTCTTGTTCTCTGCGCACACCGTTGATATGACTCAAACATATACTGCTCATAATCAGGAGGTAAAAACCTACCTCTTATTAATTGCTTCATACGCCTCCATGTTCGAACTGGACCTCTTCCTTCTCTGATCTGAGTCTCCATCATTCATTCCCACCAGACAGATGCTCCTCCCTTCAGTCGAAACGCTACTAATTTCACCCTTCTTTCTTCTGGGATCTCCATGTACTCGAAGAAACGGTCTACCTCGGTGATCCAATCTAGAAGGCCCTCTATATCCAGATCTCCACTAAAAGTAGGAATATCCACATTGAGTTTAAATTCATCATTATTCTGACGGTGATTAAAATTGCTGGGATTTCGCCAATTCCTACCGGTTCTACCATCACCGGGAATAACTAGAGCAGCGCTGAGTTCTAGCTCATCGTCTCTCTATCATTATCAAGAATAGGGTTCCTAGGTATAGGATCGATGATTGGCCTACTGTGGTCATCATCTCCTTCGGCTTGGTGCAATGCGTGATCCCTATTCCTTGGAACATCCTCTCATAACAAAGTTCGTAGTTGTCTAGCGATCTCTGCCAACTGATCTTCGATTGCTCTCCAAACAGCTTGTAACCCCTGATCTTTGTCACGGGGTTGGTTGTGACTGCTACCGTCTTGATTGGCCATCTGACTAGGCGAACTCCTGCTCTGATACTACCTAACGCAGTGTGACGCACTCGACCGGGCGATGACACAAGCACCGGACGATTGAGCGGCTTCGTTCGTGAAGCCTTACGTAAAGACTAGGTGTATGCCTTGGTAGAGAGAGAAAAGATGGCGAAAGAAAATTCTTGTGTCTTCTATTAACTCAGAACAGGGTTATTTATAATACATCTGGTAGACTTGTAGAATAACTAGGAGAGTTAAACTTGTAAAACAACTAAAACAACTATCCTATGGTTGCCTTTGATATCTACCATCCGATAGCCACCATCCTCCAATCGAAATCTTCCTCAGGCTGCCTTTGATATCCGCCGTCCGATAGCCACCATCCTCTAATGCTTATCCGATGCATGGAGCTGTCACCATTATCCTATGGTTGTTGGATCATGTAAGGTCTCTAGACGTGAGAGGCGTGAGCTGTCGTCGGTTGGTGAGCTGGTCCTCCATCAAAGTATTTGGGTATCCCTCTTCTTTGGAATAAGAATATGAATGCCTCTTTTTCTTATATGTTGGATAAATTTCATGCTAAATTGAATGGTTGGAAGTCGACAATTTTATCTCAAGCTAGTAAGTTGGTTCTTTTGAAGTCTACTCTTCAATCTATTCCTAATCATGTTATGTCTGTGGTAGCTCTTCTGAGTAGTTTTAATGAGAAGATCAATAAAATTCAAAGAAAGTGTTAGTGGAACTTTGGTAAGAATTCAAAAGGCTTTCCTTGGGCTAACAAGGATCAAATTTGTTCTCCTAAATCTTATGGTGGTATGGGAATTAGGAAAGTTAGTGAAATGAAAAGTGCTTTTCAGTTAAAGCTAGCTTGGGTTTTTTTTTGAACCAGGATAATAGGTTATGGGTCAAGCTTTTAAGAAGCAAATACTTAAATCCCCATTGTATCTTTCCTACCAGGTTGAAAAATAACAGTTCTCGGATTTGAAAGTTTATTTATAAGTCTATTTCTGTTTTGAAACCAATTTTGATTTCTAAGGTTTCATTGGGATCTCATGTGAATATTTGGAATGTTCCCTAGATTCAAGTGGATAACTCTGTTATGGTTCCCATGGGTCCAGTTGATGAACACTTTAATAAGGTTTCATTGGGATCTCATGTGAATATTTGGAATGTTCCCTAGATTCAAGTGGATAACTCTGTTATGGTTCCCATGGGCCCAGTTGATGAACACTTTAATAATGTTCAATTTGATTCTATTTTTAGTTTGTTAGAGGAATGGGATATTGATTTTATCTCTCAGATCCTTAGTGATGGTTGGACTTCTGATGTGCAAAATGTTCATATTTTTAGAAATATATTTAGGACAATTGTTTCAGATGGAGTCTGTCCAAAAATGGTGTCCTAAATGTCAAGAATGTGTATGTCGATTTAGATTGGCAAATGGTTCGGTTAGATTCTATCTTGGAAAGATTCATTAAAGATATTTGGAAGTTGAAAGTCAGACCTAGGTATATAAGTTGTTTTTGTGAAGAGTGATTAGGAATTTTGTTCCTGTTATTTCTATATTTCAGGCCAGAGGTTGTAGTAATATTGCTTCTTGTGCTTTGTGTGGTACTCATGTGAAATCTCTTTGCATCTCTTTTTTAAGTGTCCAATAGGAGTTGTTTGGTTTTCATCTCCTTGGTGTGTTAGGGCTGATTTGCTCTCCAATGTTGATCCGCTTGGGATAATTCTTGAAATTTTATCTTTTTGTGGAACAAGGTCAGATAAAGCTAAAATTTTATCTTGGACAACAATTGCTTGTTATTTTTAGTGGTCAGCAGTTCTCCATTGATTGTATAATACTTAGAATCAGAGTAGCTTTTATGGGTTTTCTGGCCTCTGTTTCTTTTGCAGGATCAAGTGGGCTGTCTTCTTTACATCTTCATCCTAATTTGAATCTTCCCCAATTTTACCTTATTTTATTTTCTGTGATGGGGAATTATTGATTCTACTAGTGGGTCTTTTGGCTTTGTTTGCTATACATCTGTTTGATTCAGGGAGATGCTGAACCATTAGATCTGGTGGGTCTTTTTTTGGCATGTATTAAATTTGTTTGATTCTACTAGTGTCCATATTTATATATTTTTAAGTCCTTTAAAGCTGCAAAAAATATATAAAATATGGACACTTTCTTATAATTTTAAAGATTTTTTAGTTCTTGTATTTATTTTCTAATCGCTTAGCTAATCTTGTTCTACTTTAATACATGCCAAATCAAATGTATTTGATTTGCATTTGGGTCGATGGAATGGGCATCTGGCTCCATTTTTATTGGGTGCAAATTATATAAAATTAATTAAAAAAAGTAAATTTTCCACTAAATCCTCTTGGAGCTTTTTTAAAGGGGTTTTTGCTTTTCAAACTTCCAAATTTGGAAGTGTTTATTTGAAAAATAAATGCTCATGAGAATTTGATGAAAAAGTATTAATACAGGCTAGAAAAGAAATAAGCACTTTATTATTGAATAAGTACTTAAAAATGAACCCGAATTTTAGGCTTCTTGAATAAACACTTATTCTCAGAATAAACATTTATTTTGGGTTTATTTCTCAAATGTCAAGTGTTTTTGGTGTGGTCCCAGCCTAAGCACTCCCAAACTTAGCCTAAAAGCTAGAATGCTCCACAGTGTCCCTATTTTACCGGTTAACTGAAGGGTTAATTCATTTAATCCATAAAAACCCATGAAAACCGAGTTTGGCTTCCATCAAGGTAAACCTGTGCCCACACCATTCTAACAGCCTTTTGCAATCTTGTATTGAAAATATCTCTCCATGAAATAAAGGATATAAATAAGGAGATATTCTCAATGCAAGACACTAAAGGCTGCTCGAACGGGCTTTGCCCTGACTGAAGCCAAACTCATGAAAACCATCATGTAACTGGGACCCAAAAATGCCATTGGTTCCCGGTTTTCACAGACTGACCGTCCGGTCTGGGCCGAGTGTTACAACATACCGTTGAGGCTCTTGGCTTCTTTTGAGGACCAAAGCTCAGTCCTTGGCAGGAAAAGAATCCTTCACATTCAGATTGCAGAAATGGGTGGACTCATTTCTGGATCTTCCCCGGCCCAGGCCCATCCGAAACATCTATAGTCTTGTCTTTGTTGAACTGAAATAAAAGTAAACACTAAACAGATTGCAGAGAAAGGAGAAAAATGGAGGTGCCTCATAGAGAGGTGGAGCTTCCGGAGTGCCCAGTTTGTCTGCAAATTTACAACAGTGGAGGCACAATCCCTCGCGTACTATCATGTGGTCACTCGGCGTGCGAGGCCTGCCTAGGGCAGCTCTCTCAACGGTTTCCCAACACAATTCGCTGCCCTGCTTGTACCCAGCTCGTCAAATTCCCCGAAGCCCAAGGCCCCTCTGCGCTCCCCAAGAACATCGACCTCCTCAGCTTCATTGACCAACAAAACCCTGATCCCAATTCTTCACAATCACACAGAAAGACCCAAGACAATCCCAACAGAGGGAGTGCTCGTGAGTTCCTGCCTCGCTTGCCATGGTCTGAAGAATTCTACTCCACTTGGAAGGATTGGGTTCTTCCATTCGACGCCGTTTCGGTGGAAGATAGAGGTGAAGAAGGAGATGAAGCTCCTTGTTGTTCCTTACTTCAAGGAAGAATTGCCTCCTCTTCGTCGTCGTCGTCCTCGCCGCTTCGGTATTGTTTTCTCAGACAGAACCAAAATGTCAGTCTTTTTCGTGTTGCTTTTTCATCTTCGAGTGCTTCTGAGTTTAGTTTTAGCTATACTGCTAGAATTATGATAGCTTTGAATAATTTGAAAGATGGGGAAAGAACTGAATTGGGTTTGATCTTGAGGACCTCCTTGAGGCAGTTTCGAGTGTGTAGAGTTTATGGGTTATGGATGGATTCGAAAACTGGGTCTGTTTCTTTGGTCTGTGAGAGGCTGAATGGAGATTTCTGGAATAAACTGGATGGGTTGAGACATGGACTTGTTGTTGAAGATTGTGGTGATCCCGATAAGGAGGAGCAAGGTTTTAGAACAGATGCTGAGCTTTCTGGCTTTTTAATGATTGGAATGGATCTATGTGAAGCAGTGATGGCTTTGCATTCAGAGGGATTAGTTAATGGATGTTTAGCGCCTTCTTGCTTCAGTTTTGATGATTTAGGTCGCATCTACGTTGACCTGAATGAAATTTTGGTGATGGGAAGAAGAATGTGGAAGTGCATTGCAAACTTTGCTTCTGGTAGACAGGTTACCAACAATTTGGAAACAGAAGATAGATTTACCAATCTATCAAAGGTCCAAGAATTTGTGAGCCCAGAGCTACTTCTAGAATTTCTGCAGGGCCGGTGTATGGATGCAGACTGTGAGAGCTTAGGTTATTCAGTTGGGTATGGTTCAGATAGTTGGTCTTTGGCTTGTATCCTGGTCAGGTTTCTTGTGGGGGGTAAATTAACTGAAAAGCTATTCAAAGATTTCTATAACTTATTTCAAACAGGGAGGGAGAAAATCTCTACTGAATACTTGGACATGTATGAGGGCTGGACAGAGAAAGTGGGCTCTGTTTTAGAAACATATTTGGGTACAAAATTTGCATCACTGCAGAAGATTCTCTGCAGATGCTTTGCTTTTGATCCAGGGAGTCGCCCTCATGTTACTGATGTGTGGAGATGCATTAGAGAACTGCTTGTTGCACCCAATATTGATATGCTGGTCAGTTTGGAGGTTGCTATTGTCAAGGAGGAGTACACAGTCCATTGCTTGATTCTAGGAGACTTGTGCCATCTGTTTCCAGAAACTGTAAAAGGATCAGAAAATCAGAGTAGGAATGACTTGCAGGGAAGTGATGACAGCAGTGGAACTGATGCAAATAAAATTAGGGATGGAAGAATTAATGAAGATCTTGTTGAGGATCTGTTAATGGGTACTTTAAAATCCATCAATCTGAAGGGTCACCTTGATTGCATCTCGAGATTAGTCATTGGAGGTACAGATTCTATGCGAGGCAAACTGTCATATCAACTTAACTTCTAGGATAGAGTTGTCTTTGTAGACAAACTATTTCCTTTTGAAGGATCATGACCTCCATATTGAATATCCCATTCACATGGATTTCCTGCTCATGTAAATCTATAGGAATGTGGAAAAGTGGTTATGTGTTTTTCTTGACTTGTGTGGGTTTGTGTTTGCTGCCTTGACATGCCTCTCTAAGCTGACCTCTTAACTTGTATTATCAACTGTAGTTTAATTCGTGATAATAAAACAATAAAGTCATTGGAAAGAAAAAGGAATGCAAAATGGCATCTCATTCAAGCTCTTGACTATATTCATAATACATAAAGTCTGCACTTAAAGTTTATTAATTAGAATGATGTCAGCTTATGCTTTCCAAAGTGATTGTAAGCTTGTTGCTTTTTGTCTTTCTTCTGTCTTCTCTTATTCTTTTTTAGGTATAGTATAAGATCCTAATGTTTTAGATAATATTTCTCATATGTTGCATTTTGAATTTATCTTTACTTCTTTCTTTTTGTAGGGGGTTTCTTGTTTAGCTCCTCTTATGATAAAACACTCCACGTGTGGTCCTTGCAGGTAAACTTATATTCTCAGCACCAATTAGGAGGTTAAATTTGCAACTAAAGGATCTCTTTCCTATAGCTATGCCATCCCATTTTGTTTTCTTTTTTGTCATGGTTCTTTAAAGTTATTTAACATCTATTATTGGTGAACATAAATGATGCAACAAAAAGTACAAAACCAGTAGAAAACAGCAACAAGATGTGTTAAATCTTGAAGTGGAACAATACACTTGAAGTTGGAATGAAGAACAACCCACTTTTAGGGCTGAAATCACCACTACAGTGGATAGTATAAGTCTTTAGGGTTTGGAAACAGCAAAAAGATCCTTTATAGCTGCCTCCAAGCAAAGTGACGCCCTAACACACAGTTATAGAGATGAAATGAAGAAGTTCAAATGGTTAATACAACAGATGGGCTTGATTATACAAGGAGTGGGGAGGGAGGCTAATGCTTTGGCTGATTCTTTAGCTAAGCAAGGGGTAATTAGGGATCAGTTGTGTTGGGTTCAATTGTAATTCTTCTGCTGTTTTTTCTTTAAGAGTGAAGCTGCACCTCGCACCATCCTCTATGAAGCTTCTAACAATTGCTTATCCTTACTGATTTCAATGAAATCTTACCCTATGTTTGGTTTGAAGGAAAAAGTAGGGAAAGGCAGGGAAACCTATATAAACTTTGTATAGGTTTCCTTACCTTTCCCTTCCTTTCCCTATGTTTTCCTTCAAACCAAACATAGCATTTATGAATTTTTACTTATAAGAAAAAAACAGTTTGACAAAAATACCCCAACTTAAGTGACTCACATGACAGTCACATGACTCAACTTAAAAATAAAAGAGCAAGACACTAACAAACAGCTATAAAGTCCATATAAGATACATAACTCAGGAAAAATAAGAAAACAAAGATGAATAACTAACAACCCTCTAGGAACCCAACTGCTAGTGGGGTTACATGTGGGCCCCACATGCCCCTGCTTCAATAAATGCAAACATCTCCTTGAGCATATACCTTTTATGGATGCATGGAGAAGTTTCATAGAGTTCACTTTGTTTATGGTTTAATAAAATTCTTTAGTTGATAATAATTTTATTTGATATGTTTTTTTTGTGCATTTACATGATGCTACTAGTTAAGGGGCTTTAGCTGATGGAGTTTGGAATTTCATGGATAAAAGAATTGATTTTATATATTTATATTACATAATGGAGTTTAAGCAATGTGACCTAGATTCATATAAAAGACAAGGTTAGAGATGGGAGGAAAGAAGAATAAACTTACTCATGGTGTGGCATTAAAGGTCCAAAGATCCCAATTTGCATATTACCCACATCCTTAAAAAGAGTGGTGAACCCTAGCAATAGAATCTAACTGGTCATTACTTATATTCTTATTAAGATACAACTACAAGGTTTATGCACTGAAAAATTGACTCTTGTGCTAATCCTTCTTCAACTCCTTTGGCTTCCGTTGGCTCTTCTGGCTCCCCCATTCCTGCACCTCGTCGACCTCCTCCTAGTTCTCTTATGTTCATTACTCCACCTATTCTTCAGAGGTAGTACCAACGACAAAGGCTTATGCATAGACAGTTTGTTCCTCCATCTCCAGGTGAGCCTCCAACACTTCCAGTCACTGAAGAGAGGGCAAGTCCTATAAAAGCATCACTAGTACCTTCATTCCCAAACATTGACCTACCCATTGTTGTAAGAAAAGGTAAACGGAAATGTACTACTCATTGCATTTCAAAACACCTCTCTTATAGTTTGTTGTCCCCTTCCTACTATTCCTTTTTAGCTTCTATTTTAGCCCAACATGTTCCTAAGAATGTTTTAGAAGCCTTGTTATAGCCAGAATGGAGGAGTGCTATGAGAACTGAGATAGACGCATTTTGTAAGAACAATACTTGGAATATTGTAGACTTACTTGCTAGGAAGGAGCTTGTTGGTTGTTGGGGCTACAGGGATTTGCTAAAGAAAGTTAAATGGATGACAAGGAATATGACTGCTAGGTTTCAGTGGGTCAGAAGATCAGCAAATGCAATGGCTGATTCTTTGGCCAAGCAAGGGGTGTCAAGGGGAGATCTTTTTGGGGCTACTTTGTAATTGTGTCTCAGGCCTGGGCAGTTTTGGTGTATATGGTTCAGTCCTAGGGGGGTAACATCTCGTGCCTCCTCCTAGGCTGATTGTATTATTGATATATGATTTAATAAAACTAATTTCATTCATCAAAAAAAAAAGTATCATGCTGATGGACAAATTAAGAGATATAAAGCCCACATTGTTGCCAAGAGGTATACTCATGTTTATGGTTTTGATTATATGAAGATGACCTTTTCTTCGGTGGCTAAGATGATATCTGTGAGGGTTCTGTTGTCTTTAGCAATGAGTTGATTGGCCTCTTTATCAGTTTGATGTAAAAAATGCCTTCTTGAATGGTGACATGACCAAAGAGTTATATATGTCCCTTCCCCCTGGAATGTATGGTAAGGAAATGCAAGGTAAGGTGTGTAAGTTAAAGAAATCTCTTTATGGACTTAAGAAGTTTCCATATGCTTTGTTTGATAGATTCTGGGCTGCACTTATTCAATTTGGTTATGCGCAGACACAATCAGACCATACTCTTTTTGTGAAGAGGAAAGCTTCTCATGTCACCTTCCTCATTGTATATGTGGATGACATTGTTGTAACATGTAGTGATGCACAGGAAATTCATGATTTCAAATGCTTCCTTAACTCTGAATTTGATATTAAAGATTTGGGAGAGCTGCAGTATTTCTTGGGTGTTGAAGTTGTTAGATCTAAAGAGGGGCTTTTTATCTCCCAAATAAAGTATGTGCTGGATCTTCTTACTAAAACTAGGAAACTAGGTGCCAAGTCTGTTTCCACTCCTATTTATGTAAATCATAAGTTCATGGTTGATGATGGAGAGCACTTGACCGATAGGTGAGTGTTTCAAAGATTATTGGGGAAGCTTCTAGACCTGTGTATGACACAACCATACATTTCTTATGCCCTCAGTGTGATTATCCAATTTATGCATCCTCCTGGAGACATACATATGGCTGTTGTAGAAAGGGTGTTATGTTATCTTAAGGGAACTTCCGGGAAAAGTATACTCTTTGCTAAGCATGATCATATGAAGTTAGAGGCATATACTGATGCTGACTGGGCAGGTAGTATAGATGATAGATGATGCACATCAGGTTATTGTGCCATAGTGGCTGGAAATATTGTCTGTTGGAAGAGTAAGAAATAGTCTGTTGTTGCTCGATCTTCAGCTGAAGCAAAGTATAGGGCTATGGCCCATGGGGTGTTGGAGTTGTTGTGGCTTAGACCTCTCCTAGAAGAGATGGGAATTGATTATGATAGGCCGTTGATGTTGTATTGTGATAATCAGGTTGCCATCAACATTACTCATAACCCGGTTTAGCATGACAGAACCAAACACATTGAGGTAGACAAACATTTCATATGAGAGGGAGTGGCCTTAGGGGAAGTGTGTCTCCCTTTCATCTCTTCAAAGGAACAACTAACAAATATCTTGATCAAGGGAATACCTAAGGCGAAGCTCCAACACTATGTAAGAAAGTTGGGCATGATTGACATCTATGCTTAGCTTGAGGGGGAGTGTAGAGAGATTGGGCTGAATGTGCCTTAGTTTGTTTAGTTATTTTCCTTATTTATTTCTGCTGTGGTGGGCTAGCTCTATGGGCCTTAAGGCCCCGTTTGGCATCAATTCTCTAGTAGGAAAGAATGGATTCTGAGAATTCTCATCTAGAGAATTCGCAAGATGTGTTTGGCATAGTCATCTAATTCTTGTTTCTCAGAATCATAATCACATTTGGCATCACCCTGTTTCCTCAGATAAATTCTCCAAATGAAAAGCACATAAAATCATAACTCCACTAGAATTCTCCAAACTTATTCCATGGGAGTTTCTTTTTTAATGTCAGCTCCTTTTGTGTTCTTAATGATTAATCTAATTTAGGGTTTTATTGGAATTCTTAACAAATGTCAGTAGCTCCAAAAGGAAGAGTGGGAAAGAAGACTGAGGATGTTGGAAGGTATCAACCTTGTATAATCTTCTTTAACCCTTCTCTAATTTAGGGTTGGTCACTCAGTGTCTTTGTGTGGCATATATTTATTTATTGCTCTTTTGTATGACAAGCAACATGGTTGACTCCTGGTTTTGGGCAGAAAGTGTGTAGGGGAGGTCTCATCTTTTATGATGGGGTTTGATTGAAACTCCCTTGTCCCAAGTCTTTTGTTATAAAAGGAAAGACCGACAAATATTTTGAAAATGGAAGTGAGAACTTGTTTATGGGCTTTTCTGTGCCAAATTTAGTCCCTCAATAGCCTAGGAGTTGCTCAGGAAATATGCTAAACAAACAAGTAATCAAAATATACAGTAGAGCATAGAAAGAATATTCTTAATTTAAAATACTAGAAGTCATAAAATTTAACATATAATAAATACATTATCTCAAGTTTGAACTTTATAAATTCCTTCCATTAGAAAATTATTAAGATTGATGACACTGCAGTTTAAATTTACATTTGATTGGTTGTTTGGTCTTTGCTGGCAAGCATGGCAGATATCAATTTGCTACGAAGTGGTACCTTGAATCCACATAGCTCTGAACATCCCAGAGGAAAGACCCAAAAGTCACTGCCTCCAAAACAAGCCTTTCCAATCCCCCAAAGCTTATTCTGATTTGTTCATCTTTGGAAGAATCAACAGTCCCCTGAGGTGCGATCACAATTTCAGGCCTTCCAAGCAATGCCTCTTTGTGCTTCTCAATGATACTAACACCCTCCTTGGATCTTATTGTTGCATACCTCTGCATTGTATTTGCACGAAGGGACATCACAGAGGTTTGAAGTCTTGTTTATCTGTGCAATAGTGCTAGAATCTGCTACTCTGCTCCCCAGTATAAGAGCCAGATGATTTTGGATCACCTCATAGGCTTCTAGGGAGTGGAGCTGCTCATGCTTCTTCTCCTGATCTGGCCATGT